ATGCACTACGCAACTTTTTCTGGTGGAAGGTTTGCTCCTGCTTGTCTCCATGGAGATGTTATTGCTTTCCCCTTTACTGTGGAATATTCTAGACAAAGCAATAACATTTCCATGTGCAAGTGCCTGACCCTCCACTAGAAATGTTACGCAGTGCACCTTTAAAGCCGTGTGCTGCTGCTGCTGGTGAAGGTCTGTAGCTGCTGGACTCTGGTCTTTGCAGTGACAGCTGACAGGCCTGGTCCAGAGCAGGGCCGGGACACAGGGAGGGTCAGGTTTTTCCGGTGCTGACAGACGAATGCGAGCTTGAAGGCGCCAGAGCAGTAACACCCCTCCTCCTCAGATACCACTGCACCAGGGCCTTTAGCCGTCTGTGTGTGCCCAGACACGTCCCAGACAGAAACAATCACCAAATGCACTAGGAAATCATATATGTTGTAAGTGAGGCTTGTGAGGCCAGCTTGACCAACTTGACCCTAAAGCAGCATTGATGTTTGTTTAAAGGGCCCATTTTACGCTGTTTTCTGATCTGTGTTATAATGCTGCTTCCACATCAAAAACATACAAATTCTGCATATTTAGACTGTGTTTTTCTTGCAAACAAAAACACTCTGTTCCATCTTGTGATGTTATCTGGTAATACAGAAAGTACTCCACTGTGTTTTTAAACTCCATATACCTTCACTTGAAACATTTGGATAATTTCAGCCTTGGAATTGCCAATCTCTACTGAACTAAAGGTAAAAGGTAGCTGTTAACTTCAAACTACCGTTACATGACATCACAAGGTGGATGTCATGTAACGGTAGTGAAAGTTTTTTTTTTTTTCTTTTTTCTTCCTGGTTGAACATGGAGAGCAGATGTGACATATATACAGCTAATTCAATAATTTACCTTTATTTTGTTAAATGAATTGAGTTTAAGCTGTCAGGAAATGTGTTTTAAACATTTCTTCACAAACTGCCACTTGACTGATCCCATCATCACCTTGTGATGTCAAGAAGTGTTATTTTTCAAGTTAACAGCTACCTTTTACCCTTAGTTCAGTAGAGATTGGCAATTCCAGGACTGAACTGATCCAAATGAGTCTAGTGAAGGTGTATGGAATTTAAAACACAGTGTAATACTTCCTGTGACATCATAAGGTGAAAGTGAATGTTTTCTAATTGACTCCAAGTATGTTTTTATTTGCGGAAACCACATCTTAACATAGATCAAAAAATATCATAAGATAGGCCCTTTAAACATATCCTCAACCATGATTTTAAGCTGTGAGTTTCATGTAGTAAACATTTTGTGCCTGAATATTTTAGCACATAATGTCCAGCTATTTTCACCTCCGTCTAACTATGTAACTGACACCCAGTGCTGGGAATCTGTGTCAATTGTGAAATGCTCTGAATGTCTGCGTATTTGTTTATGAGAAAGACATGACATTTGACATGGTTTAGAAATGACCACAGTGGCCCTTGTCTTTAACATCGCTCCAATGCTTTATGTTGGTCACGGCCTGGGACATAAAACCACCTGTCATCCTCTACCGCAAAACAATTAAAGTTACTCGTGTCAAATATAATGTGCACACTTAATCACACATTCACAGTATAGACCCATTAATCAAGTACTCTTTGTGTAACTTTTACTTTTCTTTTTGAGTGTCTCATTTTCTGGCTTAGGTGTGATTGTTTTGTGTTTTATGTGTTTGTGTTAGTTTTTATAGCGTCATATTTCAAACTGACATTATTGGCATTCTAACACCTGCTGTAGAGCTTTCATAGTGTCTCAAATGTCACATAGCGATCCTCTCCAGCATCTCCAGCTAACTCCCATCTATCCCCAACCGCACACTCAAGCCCCACTCTTATCACTGCCACTCACACACTGACGTCCTCTGGGGGCTGCACTTTGAATTGGGGCACAGCTATTTGCTATTCTTAAATCTAAACCGCGCTGTGCTGCAATGAAGGAGAGCGCTTTGTTGTCCTCTGCCTACGGATTGGTCTAGGAAAATGAGTCTTGTTTTGGAACTGGTCAAGCCTACGTGAAGACACCATCATCCATCAAATTAATTTCCTCTAGGGTTTTGCCTTCAAGCAGCTATGAGTTCCAGCTTGATAAACTCTCTGGCAAAGGTGTATGACCCTAACCCTCTGCAGAAATCAGGAGCGAGGAAGCTGTCTCTTAGCGGTTCGGACAAGTCCCAGTCGCCAAGTTCCTCATTGTCATCTTCGACTCCTGTTTTAAATGACCCATTGCGTTGCGTGGAGAGCCGCATGGACTCCTTAAGTTCTCAGATGGAGCGTCTTCTCAGTATGCAGCAAACCGTCCTGGCCAGGTTGGATTGTTTGTCCCAAGATGTGCGTGGTATGGGCAGGGACCTTGCTCTCATGAGGGGCGATGGAGGTAGTGTTGGCAGTCGGCGTAGTTCTGGGGATGAAGCTGCTTATAGAGAACTTCGCGTAGCTGTGGAGACGACTGGAGAGAGGGTGGATGTCCAGGGACGCAGGCTGGAGACGGTGGAGAGGATCGTGGAGGGAACACAGCAGGTCATCAGTTACATCGGGGAGGTGGTGAAGAGCTCCAGGCTAGTGGAGCTTCTCTTTAAACAGCCAGGGAGGAAAGGCAGGAGGAAGGTGAGTGAAGAGAGAGGACTATACGGGGCTGTATGGGATAACATGGTACACTATGGAATACGGACTATAAACGCAATAAACGCAATATACGCAATATACTGCAAAACTATTGTGAAATTATCAATATTTCAATATTGAGTCAGTATCACAATTCAGTATCACAAGAAAATAAATATATATGGCTACAACATAAGTTTCCCCATTGTACATACATTTTTGTGTTTTTGAAAGAAAAATGGACAATTGACAAGGAAGATTGTATTCATGATTCTTCTTATCAGGTCCTACATTAGACTTTGGTTGATCTTTGTTTAGTTTTTACTTTTACACACTCTTGACTAGTAAATGTATCACAGTACAAGGTAGTACTTCTCCTAGGATGGGACATGGAGTATGCATCCTGAAGTAACAGATAAATAAAATATATGCAGACAAATAAGTGTTAACTTAACTAAAAATTAAATGTTGACCCTAAAGAAGTATATTGTATAACAGCTATAACCTAAATATGTTATGATAAAGGTATACTGAACTTATTTTTCTCCTTTTTTTGTGGAGGATGAACCAACTGCTTGTCTCCATGGAGATGGTAATTCTTTAATTGTTTCACAATATAAAATTGATTTATACACCATTTATTTAAATGAGGGTGATTGTATTTTAGTTTTGGATCAACATTTCTGTTTATTTATTATTAATTATTAAACATAGGATTAGAGTGGATTGTTTCTGATGGTAAATACTGTATCAGATATGTTGTGCATCTATCTTATGTTAAAATCTGTCATGGTGTTTGTTAGTTCCATCCTGATTTCCCTTTTGTGAATTTCAATCACCGACTGAGATTTAGGGCTACATTTCCTCATGAATTTTGGATAATTTTCAAATCCACATTTTGAATGTACTGTCCACTCACGTTTCCATTCTGAGGTCTTTTTTAACCTGGAAGTGTTCCTCCAATAATCGCAGGCATGAGCTTTGGATATGAGAGCGTTACTGTTTATAAGCTGTGCTCTCAGCATAGTGTCAGGTCTTATTGCATTGTGTACATTGCAGTAAAAGCAATATGAGCTTTACTAAAGGTTGCTCTATCATCTTTATCCAGAGTCTGTTTCCACATGCAATCTCTTTAAAGGTGCACTATGGAACTTTTATATTGATCCACCATGTACTTGTCTCCATGGAGATTTTATTGTTTTGCCTGGAATGACTCGCATTACATGTATCTGGAGACTAACAAATTAAGCCACTAGGTCAAGTTGCAGGTCAGATCTGTGGAGAGACAAGCCTGCTCACAGTAAGAATACAAGGTCTTTCAAGGTTTTTGAACAATAAACACCTGTAATGAAGAAATGTAAGAAAGATATGCTATACTGTGGAACTTATAGGCAAAGCAATAACATCTCCATGAAGAAAAGCAGGTGACAAACCATTAACCACTCACCAGAAAAGTTACATAATGCCCCTTTAAAATAACACATTTAAGCAAATGCATGTATAAGTTAGGTTTATCTTCTAAACTTTTTGCCCCCATGTTGTTGTGTCTTTCCTTGGGGTATTATTAGTTCCTTGTACACCAGGTTCATTCTCTGCAATGTTAAGTAGTTTTCCTTCTCACTGTCTGGTCGTGGGGTTAGGGGGTGTGTTTGATTGGACTCAGACTGGTTATCTTATCACAAAAGTCTCTATCAGCTCAGACTGGGACAGTAGCTGCACATGTTCTGGCTCTGGAGAAGTGATGGTCTCCTGTCCTTATATGAAAACACTGTTCTCGACACTTTGTGAATGCTTGACAACGTGTAGTGTTGTATGTAGTGTGGGATCTATTTTTGTCTCACCTGCGTCTGATGTTCTACAGACTTTCCATGGAAATACAGTTGGCTACTGTTCAGGCTTCATAGTTAAATCTATTCTTCATCACACACACCTCTTAAAGATGCACTATATAACTTTTTGGTTGTGGATCTGCCACTTGCATCTCTGTGGAGACGTTATACTTTTTCTAGAATGTTCGACAGTGTAGCATTAAAGTTCATACATTTAATCAAAAAGATGTGTTTTAATTACTAAAGTAAGACTTTCAAACATTGAAATGTGCCTAAAAAGAAGGTATGGTTTAAGGAAATGTTATATATATATATATATATATATATATATATATATATATATATATATATATATATATATATATATATATATACCTTTGCCATGTCATTGTTTTTATTTATATTCTAAAGTGAGGTTTTCACATTGGACAAGAAAGCACCTTATCTTATGTTGGAAATATATTATGTAAAGCTGCGACCATGATTGAATCACCTCGGTCTCAACGTTTAGTAAAATTAACTGATTGGCTTTCTGTTTGTGCAGGTAAAAGACGCCAAGTCAAAAGATGAAAAAGACAAAGATAAAGCCAAAGGAAACCTGAAGGGCGTAAAGATCCAGAAGAAGAGGAAGACTCATGATGGATCAGGTACTCTGTCATTAAGAGACTTACAATTTGTGAACCATGTGAGCAATGTGCTTGTGTGCAGATTAATGCTCCATGAAATGTAATTAAACATTATGTCAAACATGATATTGCATTTATATCACATACTTTCTTTCTTTGTGCTTGCTTGACTCTCCACAGATCTGACCTGTAACTTGGCCTGATCATATCACCTGCTTGTCATCATAGAGATGCACACAGTTATCGTAAATGTAGCGGACATCTTAACCTACTTATTGACTCTTAAGCTGTGATGGAATGTGTTCATGTGATGATGAACAAAATTTCCACTGTGGTGAACCATGAAGTTTAAGATAAAGTTAGATTAGATACATTATATAGAAGGTTTCCATACTGTGAGTATTAAGTATTAAAATCTCCATGGAGACAAGCAGTTGGTGGAAATATTACATAGTGCGAATTTAACTAATGCTTTGTTTTATAATGACACAGAACACAAATTTTCTATCCGTTATGGCTAGTTTTATTCCACCTTTTGTGCTTGTGTCTGCTATATAGTTATAATCGATGAGAACTGTGGATCATTATCTTATAACCTGGAAACTTTAAATCACAATATAGATCTAAAACTTAGCTCTGCCATTACAAAAAATAAAATTGGACAATGATGTATTTACAGACCTGTGGGGTCTGGTTTGCATAACAGGCCTTCTTTACCTGCCATTTGCATCCATCCTCTGTCTTTGGCGTACTTTTCCAGACCGTATTCACCAACTGTATGTTCTTCTTTCTATAGAATCCCCAACTTCGAATGAGCCAGTTCTACAAGAAAAAGTGGAGGAGCTGAATCGTCAGAACACTGAGCTGTCTGTTTGTGAAAGCCAAAGAGAAGAAGAAGGGAAGCCCACAGAACTGATCCTCACTGCTCCAGACCTGCCCTCCACCTGCTCAGGAGAGACACAGAAGAGTGAAAGAGAAAAAGAGGAAGAGGAGGATGTGTTTGAAGACTCGGAGTGTGAGGAAGATAAACCCAAAACAGAGACGGTTCACACTGAGGAGGATCAAGCAGCAAAGGATGACGAGAAAGCTGTCGAAGACATTCCAGCTCAGATCTGTAACACCGCGCTAGGGTCCCAAGAAAGGTGCTTAATATAACTTATTATAATAAACTAAAATGAGTTTGAGGTAGTGTTGAGGAAGAATGGGAAACTGATTTTGAGAAAGATGCGTTCATGCTAAACTGGAACTAAACCTGGACTAGACCGGGACTGAAGCAGGCCAAATATACAGGACTAAGCTAGTCTCAAACTAGGAACAAATCAGTATGAATTTTTAGCAGCACATCATATGAAATTGTATTTAATTATTTTATTTCTTGTGTCAATATACTTTTTCATGGGGTGAAGTTTGTTTGAAGTTTGAAGACTGCTTAACCCCAAAATTATAACAGTTGGGATTACACATCTTTAGTCAATAAAAAATGGTAGGACAGAAGTCTCCTGTTTTTTATTAGGCTGTTTATTCAGCATAGAGTCCTGAGAGTATTTTGAAATATACAGTTTTAATTTCACAAAAATATTAAATTAAGTATAATAATGATTAAATATTTAAACATCTCTGTACAGTAATGAAGATGTTGGCGATGTGGCTTCAAGCAGCAAGAGGCGGGGCACTGAGGAAGATCTGGTGAAAGATGATTTAAAAAAGAGTCGTGTTGACGAACACAACAAAGAAGAATTAACTGACGAAACTGAACAACAGGCTTCTACATCTGAACCAGAAAAATCAGAAACAGAGGAGGCAAAGACAGAAGAGGGCAAAGAAAAAGACTTTAACATAGGTAATTTTATATGTTTACGTTACCAAGTTAAATATGCACTAAGCAGCTTTCCTGGTGGAGGGTTTACCATCTGGATGTTATTGCATTGCCTGGTATGTTACACAGTATGACATTAAACTCAACTTTCTTCTTATTATTATTCAGTTACATGTTCTTACTGTGAGTGGGCTTGCCTCTCCGCAGAACTGACCTGTAATTTTGCCTGCTGAAGTTGCATACAGGTTTTCATATAGATTGAGGAATGTAATGTCTTATGGAGCATTTAAAACTAAGTAATAACATCTCCATGGAGAAAAGCAGGACCTTCCACCAGAAAAGTTGCACAGTGTTCTCCAGCACAATACCATTCAGAAAGTACCTCTGTTAGTAAAGGGATCTTGACTACTGGTTTGTTATGTTTGTTTACAAGCCACTGTTTCCTGGTTCCACACTACTATAGCATCACGCAGACTGTCCGCACAGACTTGACATTTAAGTTTTCCTTCTGAAATGGATCAAATGTCATAACAACATGTCTGCCCATGCGTCACTGACATGTCACAGCTGGTAGAGTCGATAATGAGACTCTGGCATGATGCTATTTCCATCCACTTTGTTTCTGGGCAAGAAGTTCTTCTCTCAAAGTTCAAACTTGTAACTTCATTAACCATTTGTGCCTCTTTATTTCAGATTTTAGCCCACCACCATCTGCTCCTTTTGACCATCGCATTGTAACGCCAAAGCCACATCAAATTGCCACTTACTACACAATCAACAGAGAGGAGGTACTAGGAGGGTGAGTAGTACGGACTTGGCTGTTGGATATATATTTGTATTACTTTATTCGTAAGACTGTGAAGTGGGCCTCTAATGAAATGACAGGAGAATCTTACAGCATGTGAAGTGATGCTAATTGTTTTCCAAGACCACTCTATTGCCCTCTAAAGGGCAGTAGACACCAAGCACAGGGGGCACTTACTGAAGCGCGGCCCCCTCTGATGTAACACACCAGGGCTAAATCCTGCCTCTCAAACTGAGATTACCCCTCTGCACGCAAGCACATTGCTCAAATGGTTCACAAAATGACACACTAACGGTATTAATTTCACTGTGGCTCGAAGGAGATAATTATTATCAGTTATCACTATGGGGAGTTTATAATAATGCATATATTTTAATAGTTTTAATATTCTGAAGATGTTAAATATTATTGAAATAACTTTAATACAATGTATAAACTAATAGTAATGGATTGTATTTACGGTATTACGCGTTACTACAATCTCAAAACACAATACATGAGTTCATTCACCATTCACACACTACTCTGTGCACTGATGAAGACTGCCTTTCTGTGCCTCCAGTCTCTAATACAGAGTCATAAACCTAATTTACACACAACACAATGGGATAACTGTATTGGTCAAGAGAATGAACCACCAACTTCTTGATTAGACAGTATTGTTTTTAGATTCTTTGTTTCTTAATATCTGTTTCTTTTTTAGGGGCCGTTTTGGACAAGTCCACAAATGCATAGAGAATTCTTCTGGCCTGACTTTAGCTGCCAAGATCATCAAAGCCCGAAGCCAAAAAGAGAAGGTGCAGTAGCCATCACCCAATGAACACTCAATACAAGACTGTCATGATTCTGATTGGACACCAGTTTGACTAGACACTGTCAGGGCTTATTATTACACTGGTCATTGTTAAAATTTCCTCTTTATAAATAGATCCTGCTTAGCAGTTCAGTGGATTCAAAGTTGTGTGACTGTGGTCAGGTGCCTGGGTGTAGTATGGTGAAAAATGTTGTCAGCTTATATTGTCAGCTATTCTAATTGAAAGTAGACTCATATTACACATAACTGACCTCATGTGACAAAACAGTCTGAGTAGTACTTTGTGTCCATCAAAACATTACCAGCCATGAAAACTGTTTATTTAAATATGAACTAAAACATCTTTGCTTCATAGATTTCATTAAATAGGTTGCATGAAATGTAGTTCCAATGTCCTTCATCAGATCTTTTGGTCAATCAATATTTAAAGTGGTTATTAAATTAGACCCGAGGTGAAATGTCTTTTTCTTACTTTTTCTTTTTTTTTAGTTTATTCCTTGCTGATAAGGACAGGGGATGCTGTGAAATAGTTATCCATTTGTTTGTTTCCATTTGTTTGTTTCCTATTGGTTACACTTTTTTTTTTCAATCGCTTTGGCACATTTATCAATTGAAAATGTCCATAACCGATCACACAAAATCCTAAACATTACACATCTCACAGTGCGTATATCTGAATGTCGTCTCATATAGTTTGTACACTCTGCTGAGACCTTTCTCCCTTTATGACACATGGGAAATCCTTTGCTGTGCTTGCAAATATTTGCTTTTTGTTGTCATATTTGAATTTCTATATTGACAGAGTTTGGGCCAACATCCTTTACCAGTACTTAAAACATTTGATTATGCAGAGAGAGACTGGTTATTGGATGTGTGCACTTGTTTTATAGAGTTATTATATTTGGCACACCCTGTGAGATGATTGCTGTTAGGATATTCAGATATTCAACTTTAATCTTAACCTAATTTAGTTTCAGTTCCCCTATATCTTTCTATTTTTCATTTGGAATATTGAATTTTATGTTATATTTTGTTAGGAGGTGGTGAGAAATGAGATCCAGGTGATGAACCAGCTCAACCATGCAAACCTTATCCAGCTGTACGCCGCCTTTGAGTCCCGCCACGACATCATCCTGGTCATGGAGTAGTAAGTGCATATGATTTTAAGCATATTAAAGATAAACAGATAAAAAATTTAAATCGTGAGGTGCAACATCAACAGATTAAAAGCCCTATTACGTAAAACTGTCTCTTGTGAGCTTTAAGCCATGTTAGAATGTTGTTACCTCATCAAAAACTTATTGAGAGTTATATGTTGCTTCATTCACACATTTTCAGTAACCCTTTATTATTAGTCTGTCTACATCTCTCACAATGCTCAGTTCCACCTTATGAAGTCATGGAGTGGTAGTTTTCAAATGAACAGCTCCCTTTTATCTTTTGTTTAGTAGAAAATTAAAATTCCAGGGCTGAAATTATCCATATCGTTCTAGTGAAGGTCTATGGAGTTTAAAACACAGTGGGGCACTTTCTGTATTACCACATGACATCACAAGGTGGAACAGAGTGTTTTCAGTTGGAGCCTATATTTGCAGGATTTGTCCATGTTTATGAATGAAACAAAACACAACTCCAGATATGTTTTCAAAGAGGAAACAACATTAAAACAGATAAGAAAAAAGCGTAAAATGGGCCCTTTAACACAAAAACACTTACACATATAGACATTTAAAGAGCTCAATTTTCTCATTCCTTCACATGCATCATCCCCCTCTCTTTTCATATTTGTTTTAGGTATTAGTATTAGGTTCTTTCCACCATTTCAAAGTTAGCTCACTACATGTCACTAGTCCAGTATAGTAAGTTCATATCTACTTCCACAGTATTTACCAACATACAATAAAAAATAATAGAATTAATAAACCAATTGGTTATCTTGGCTCATTTCGAGTTCCCTGCTTTATTTCCAGTGTTGAAGGAGGAGAGTTGTTTGACCGGATCATTGATGAAAACTACAATCTCACTGAACTGGACACAGTGCTGTTCATAAGACAAATATGTGAAGGTCTACAGTACATGCACAAGATGTACATTTTACATCTTGATCTTAAAGTAAGACTGACTAAGTTAGAGCCTTAATGCCGTTTCCTGAAGTTAGCATTTTAATCATTTTGTTTTTTTGCTTTTTTCCAGCCTGAGAATATTCTTTGTGTTAGCAGAGTCACAAATAAAATAAAAATTATTGACTTTGGTCTGGCCAGAAGGTATAGTCTTATTTACAGTTTATCATTTTGATGATAATGATGAGCAGAATTTCAATATTGTCCCATTTGTGGCAGGTATAAGCCCAGAGAAAAGCTGCGCGTGAACTTTGGGACGCCTGAGTTTCTGGCGCCTGAAGTCATCAACTATGAGTTTGTTTCATTCCCAACCGACATGTGGAGCCTTGGTGTGATCACGTACATGCTGTGAGTTCAAACCTCAAACACGTTTTAAGATACAAAATATAGTAACTGCTTTTGTGGTATACCATTCAATTCACCTTTTTCTGATCATGACTTACATGCAGATGTGAGAAGAATAGCGAAACATTGCAATCAAGTAAATGTACTTTTACCTTGAAATAATCACTCTAGTCACTCAATTAGAAGTACAAAGTAGTTCTAAAAAGTAAGTGGGGAATCTACTACTCAAGTAACAGTAAGTTAATATCTACAACTTAACATCTGTTTTTAATGTGTTCTTAATGCAAATGTAAGACAAAATTAACTAACGTAAAATCTGGTATTTTCAAAAGATAGGCCACAAAAGTTTGACAAAATACAACAAAATCATATATTCAGCAAGAAATGCAAATGTAATACTGCCAATGTAGCTTTTGTCACTTATTCACAGTGGGAAGACTTTTAATCAAAAGTACATTAAAAGAATGGTGCTAGAAAACTATTCTGAGAAGTTCAATTTATATTACAGTTACTCAAGTTAACATGCAAGAGAAACTTAAACTGAGCACCACCCACCTCTGAATATAAAATAATAGTGCTTCTCTGTATCTGACGCATGCTTTGTCATTCCAGCCTCAGCGGTCTGTCTCCGTTCTTGGGGGACGATGATAATGAAACGCTGAACAACATTTTGGCGTGTCAGTGGAACTTTGAGGAAGAGGAGTTCACGGACGTGTCTGATGAAGCCAAAGACTTCATCACGCGTCTGCTGGTGAAGAGCAAGAGCTGGAGGATGAGCGCCACCGAGTCCCTCAAGCACCCCTGGCTGTCAGACCAGGAACTGCACTACAAACTAGACCAGAAGGTAGCTCACTAGATTCTATTGATACTTTGCTATGACATTATGCTGGGGGAGTTCTGCATGTATAGCAAATTTTTCAGCAGTTACTATGGTGACTCAGTGCACACATAAGCAAAGACAGACAAAAATGTTTTAAGATATAAGAGCACAAACCATCTCAACTGTTGAAGCTGTTGATGATGTATCAATGTATCAAGATTGCAAAACACACATGAAAAACACTACCCAGCTACTAGTTACTTTTTATAACAAGTTTAGCATTTTAGATCACGCTTTTTTACCAAACATCAAAAATTTTGTCATTTTAAATTGCAGTTTTTATTATCTGTGCTTTGGTCAATCAGAACACTACTCACTAACTTATATGATTTAAAATGTATCTACTTACAGTTACATGTCTGAATGATACTCAATTACAAGAACAGTACACCTTTAAAAATCTACTCAAAAAAGTACAATTAACTGAAAGATCTACTCAAGTGAAGTTACAGTAATATATGTAATTAGTTACTTTACACCCTGATTGTGAGCATAAAATCATTGTTTAGTGTGGACAAAGTGAGTGATAGTAGCAACAGTAGAAAACTGAAACTGTCTCATATACACTGATAGTCAAAGGGTGTGGTACTTGAAGTAGGTCTACCTGAAATCTGACAGTTGGAGACCTATGCATGCAAAAATAACCGCATGAGTGTGCTACAAGACTTGGAGCACAATAAAATTCTTAACAGTAAACATTTTGGGGATATTAAAAGTTATGAATATTGTAATGAAAAGTTTAAGAAAGCTACCATTTAAACATTGTTTTTCTCTTCCCTATGATAGAAAAATAAGTGCCACTCAACACATGCACCTCCACCAGAGAGCTAGACGGGTGAGTTTACAAAATCAAGAGTCTGGTTAGCTTAGATACCTTTTATTCTTGTATAACTTACTGACTTCACCCTTTCCATAATTTTCTCTCCAGAACCACAAAGAAGACCTCTGCATGTTTTTCACAACCTGGGCCATGGAGCCTACCACTGGACCAATGCTGCTTACCTGTGATGCTGTTTGGCTACTGGAAACTACTCTGTGCTTTGCAATTTTATGTTTAGGTCTATAGTTCTGGCATGCGGCACAAAATTTAATTATTATAACATTGTAATTGTCCTGAAAAAAGCACAAACCTGTGGCTCAGTGAATGTTGCATTTTAGTATCTCATTACTGGAGCTGCCTAGACGAAACCGTTTGGTTGGTTACCTGATACAGTGAACACAAATTTAAGTCAAAAAATAATTATTTGACACCCCACTTGTTCATTGCATTTATTGCACTTTTTGATTTCACACTCAAATAAGTTTAAGTTTAAATAATTTTGTGAATAATCTTTCTTGATTTCTTTCTTTCTTGTCAAGTCTTATAAATTGTTATTGTGTTCTCAATAGACATGTTTTAGTATCCTGTTAATTAATTTATTTGTATATATATCACTTTACACACAACTCTCCCTTTCCTAAAGAATGAGGCCATTGTATTTGTAGACACATCCTCTTGTTTAATATCACCCACCCTCAGGCAACAGACACTGAAAGATCCTAGATGGTGCCATATCTCATGCCTAAGTCACCTTTTAAGTATTTTGTAATGAGATTAATACTGGTAATAGTAATGTTTATATAAATTAAACTATGGCCTTCCCATTTCCACTTTTACAACAGACCCATCATAGACTGCTGGCCCATTGCTTTTCACTGTCACCATGTGTGCCATAAGTGTGCTTTGGCTATTTGGAGTAGCGATCTCACCTTCCATGAAGGCATACTGAACAACATAGTACTACCTACTAATGATTCATTTATTTCTTATTGCAGTAGTTTCAGATGTTCATTTATTTACTGTCTTGTCACCAGACTGTACTTGAACTACAAAGCTTTTCTTCAACAGGAAACTTGGTACAATCCGATTTCACACTTGAGCACAGATCTTACTGTATGTGTATAGTTTAAATCCCTGAACAGACACATCGCATTTCTGTGCAGATGACATGTTTTTGGTGGTGTTCAAAAGTGAAAGAGCTTTGTGATTGACATTTCTTTATAGGAATTTATGTAACTTTTTCAGTTTTCTTTTGAAATGACACAAATAATTGTAGAATATTAAAATAAAGTACACAACTAATGTTTCTGTGTCTTTGTATTTTATGCAAGTGTAAACTTCCATAATAAGTGGGCTATGGGCACAAGAATACAGATATCGACAATTCCAGGGATGAAATTACCCAAATGATTCGAGTGAGTGTGTATGAATTTTAAAAACACAGTGGAGTCTTTCCTGTATTACCACACAACATCACAAGGTGAAACAGAGTGTTTAATTTTGAAAGAAGAACTCAGTCTAAATATACAGGACTTGTGTGTAAAACGTGTGAATGAAACAAAACACAACTCCAGGTATGTTTGTAATGAGGAAACAACATTATACAAACAAGTTTTAATTTTTCACAGCCCTGCTCTCAGTAAAGATGACAACAATTTGATCAGTAATCCCTACCACGCTCCTCCATGTGTAACTTGGGACAGCCATTTGGATTTGTCAGGGAATTCTACCCTAAGACATCAAATTACATTAAATAAAGACACTCCAGAAAGAGACGGTTAAAATTTTTACTTGCGCAAGGAGAGTCGTGCACACTGTCTGTCAGCTCCCTGACCGACTCTGCTCAACAACTCTCCAAGTCACACTTTTATTGAAAATCATGTCACAGATAAGCATACTTGATGACATACATTTCACATGTTATCTTATAACTAACAATCGTCAACTGAACCACCCTCCCATTTCACATTTGATTACATATCCCAAAGATAGACAATTTAGTAGTTCCCCAAGGCCTTCAGTTTTAACATAAGATGGGACAAACCCAGAATTGTTGGCGCCCATAGTAGATTAGCTTAATCTGTCAGTTGACATGTCATTCATATCTGCTGCTGGTATCATGTCCTGTACTTCCTGAACCAAAACAGACCCAAAGCAATGTTGATTACACCATGATTAATATTTAAATGATTCACCCTTTAAATGATTAATACTTTAGTGAAAGAATTACATATATAAATGAGTAACACTTTAATGAGACTTTAATCAAAGAAATACATTTATATCATAGAATTCTCTAACAGGATTCAGTAGTGACATTTACGATATGCATAGTGCGTACAGGCGTACCCTTGCAGCCACCACAGATAACGCTTTAAATAGAAACATAAGCATTCCATTGAAATCTTTTGAAGAATTGTGTTGAAGTTCTCCTTTCTCGCCCGTGGGGGCGCTAAGTAAGGTCACTAGCCGCTCTCTGCAGCTCAGTGCCTTCTTTGCAGGCACTCTTTGACTGGCGCTGCTCTCATTGGTCCAGGGAGAGACTGTTCCTGTTACGCACACACCGGTGGTTGGCTGCAGACTGCCGGGCTGGTTAGCGGATGGTGCTGGTGTCTTCTTATTTCTGTGACTGTAAACACGACAAGAATTTATTTGTATTTTGTGTCCAAACTGCAAAGCTTCACACGGTAAACCATGGCCTCAACCTCCGACGCTACAACTTCAAGCTCCTCGCTTAACGGAGGGGCGAACAAGCATCGAAAGGTGGCTCTCATCACGGGCATCACTGGACAGGTACGTGCACCATCCTCACTGATCTGTTGACATAAGGTTTAACTGAAAAACACATGCAGTGACAGTTACACTAAGCAGAACAGCATCATGGTATATACCCGTACATTGCAAGACACAGCTAATTTGGTTTCTTTGAAAAAGGCAGAAAAAACTTTCCTCATGAAGCTTGCGTGGACGTGCTGTAGTCAAATAAGCGTGATTATCAGAGGCAGGTGCCAAAGGCTTAACAGTACTTCGTTTAAGAGACCAACCCTGTTGTTAATTCTTAATTAATAATAGAGAAGCTTGAACATGTTGTCCTCATCACGTTACACTGTGTTTTATTTAACTTGTTGTACCGGTTTTGTGTGGTCTTGTCGTTACTGTCCTGAATTCCTCATTTGTTTGCCTGAGATATCTCCAGAAAAGCGCACTTGTCAAAGTCGCGAGTAAATGATTTTTAACATACAATATTTTGTGATCACTTTCCAAAAATGTAAATCATGTAGTAAATACATATTTAAATATTTAATAACTAATAACAGCTTTCTTGTAGAGACCATTGAAACCGAAAGTAACTTTAGCCATTGCTCAGTGCCCCACACAGGGTGTTACATTTTGAGCGGGGCAGGTTACAATAGTGTAATACAGGCCCTTTTAAAAGATTGTTCTGCTATATTAAGACTATGCAGGAGAAAGAATAGATTATAGGAGTCACCAAGTTCCCTTTAATAATGGAACACACTTGGTATTGCCATATCATGAAGTCCTATTACAACATGACCTGAGACTTAGGCTAATCCCCAAAATGACTGCTTTAAAAGTGTTGACTGGGTTGAACAAGCTGCTCAGAGAATACACTGTTTCATTATTCAGTCACTCCCCACAGCTGTAGCCAGTAAGACTGTCATGATAATTACTTTCAGGGCAGTAGACAGGGAAAAGGAGGTCTGTTGTCCTTGGCCCCAGGATTTCAGGGCCCCAGAATTGGATCAGCTTATTAATTGAAGAAGAAGAAAAGAATGCCTTCTTTGCAGACGCTCTTTGACTGGCTAGTTATAATGAATACTGTTAAAATTCTAATTTATGCTGTAGTACAGTGAGTTCTTGGGTTTAGCCAATAATTGAAAATATCAGGTTCATCATTTGTGAATTTACCTTTTGGATATTTCATGGCAAAGTTTAAAATGTAATCAACAAAGAAATCTAACACCCATATTGAAAGTATGAAATTACCACATTCTAGAATCTGAAAACCTCCAATATAAGTTTGTATTATGAACTTCTGTGATTATAAATATAAACTAACTACTTAAGCATTTCATTCTGTTATTTATTTATTGCAGCTTATATTTTTTAACAATATTGTACATTTAGAAACATTTTTGAAGATAATTCTGCTTTATGATTTGGTTTCAATATTGTTGTTTATCGTGAAATTTTTTCAACAATATATCACACTTAAAAATGTGTTATGTTAAAAGTTGATGATTGAAATAATTTAACTGCTTTGTTAGATGTCAGATCTTGCTAGTCTGGTATCCTTTCTATAACTGTAAATTCTGTAAATTCTTAATTTCATTAGTTTAATTCTTAACCAGTAAGTCTGGTTTTCTGTCAATAACAAATATCACCACAGGTGATATGTGCAGTGTAAACTGAGAATCCTTTTGTATGATGTGAATGCGTACACTTCCTGTACACTTACATTGTTTAGCTGGGTCAGTGTAAGACACACATGAGACCTTTTGGAATCTCAATAGTTGCTCTTTCATATTTGCCTCTCTGCCAAAACTTTTTTCTAGTTTCAAATCTTCAACCTTTTTACTGAAAGTTACCATTAATTTCTGTCTTGTTTGAACTGTTATACCTGTGTCACTCCCTATCTGTTTGACCACTCAAACATTAACTCAGCAAGAATTTACAAGGAATTTAAAAGGCTCACATATTGTCCTATTTTATCCTGTTACTTAACTTCTTCAGATAATGTACAAACAATGATTTTCACCCTTATCCGCTAAGGGGCAGATATCAGTTGTCCTTAGAAGTCACTGAGTGCGTATACATAAGATTTTACGGTATGTGTGTGTGTTCATGTCTACTCTATCCTGGTATCCTGTATCCTGGTATCCTAGTGTCCTCGTATCCAGGTTTCAGTAGCCTGGTTATGATTGTGTCCAGGATACTGTGACAGCAACCCATTAACATCACGCTCACTTGTGTGGCTGTTTGTGTTGCTCTTGAACTAAACTGATTGTGTGAGACTCTTGTTATATTTTTCAACTGTTAAAAACACCTGAAGCTGTAACAGAGCTCCACACTTATGTTCTTACACTTATGTTCTTCCTTGAATCTATGTATTCTTTTTTGTTAAAAAGCCTTAAATTTGCATAATTGTTCCATGTTTTAGCTCCTTGTCATATCTGCAATATAGTTATTATAATTACCGCTCTAAATATCCAGGATACTCTGATTCCCATGTGTACAGAGATATGAGTATCTTGGTTCCTCTGAACTAATGTTAACACAGTATCACAAACATTGTCATAACTGGTAACACACCCACACACACATCTAAACTTCAACATCTTATTTTCCACCTTGCCATACAGAACAATAACTTCTCATATTTTATATATTTTAATTTATGTGGCCAAATTATACTTTGGATTTACATTTTTGATAGACAATGTTATGTATGATTTGTGGACTTTTAGAGAGTAATTAGTATTAGAAATTAGATTACTTAAATATAAAGTATGTATGCCCAGCAGAGGGGGCTAGATTCACAATTTTAAGTTGAATTCAGGGAGTTGACAATCAGATTTTGGGATGTTGTTTTGGCAAAAATATGGAAGCAACCAGTATTATATTATTGTGCAATATTTAGCAGGTTGTGAATGAAAAGCAAGCAAGTTAATCATTACATCAGTTTACAGTACCTACGAGTTAATAAAAAAAAAAAAAAAAAAAAAAAAAAAAATTGAGCTACTTCCTTGAGCATTGCAGGCGCACACTCCTAACCTTAGTGTGCATGTACTTTGGGGGATTTTGGCAGCCCTGTCATAAACATCACATCCAAATGGCCATCCTTTGTAATGACCCGTGGAGTCAGTGAAAGTCTGTGGTGATGAATAGAAGGACCTTGATTGAGAGTAGAGTGGGTTATGCAGATGAGTGAACAGGAATTCAATTCAACCCACAGTTTTTTAACTCTTGATTGGTCTATGCTACATTTTTTCTTGTTATTTTGACCTCACATCTTTTACCCTGGCCACTATTTACACTTAGCTTTCTGTATAATGCATTGCTTTGTTGTTAATTGGTTGTTAAAGCTATTTATGGAACTTTTTTTTACTCTATTTCCTCTGTTGATTTCAGCCATTAAATTAATTTTTCAATGTGGTGGAGGGTTCGCCACCTGCTTGTCTTCATGGAAATGTTGTTGTTTTGTCTAGAATGTTCCACAGTAGAGATTAAACCCATCTATCTCAAGTTAGACAACTGTATGCTACTTTACAGGTCAGATCTGTGGAGCGGCAACCCTGTTCACAGACAGAATTATTGTATTTTTGAGCAATAGAAACACCCGTAATGAATAAATGCTAGATAGATGTGTTTAATGTCATACCATGGGACATTACAGGGAAAGTCATAATAACTCCATGGAAACAAGCAGGTGACAGACCCTCCACCAGAAAAAATGTACAGTGCACCTTTATGGCCAATAGCAGATACGGTGAAAAGAGCAAATATCGGATTTCTAACCAAAACATCAAAAGAACTATGAAGGCCGACTATGTAAAGAGAGCGCCCTCTGCTGGAAAAAAAAAGATGGGTCCTTCTTTATAGACCGAATAAAATAGTTGCCTATTGGTTTTTCTATTACTAGACTATTTATATATTGTTTCTCAAATCTGCCAATATTTTCAGCCAAACCTTATGTCAGAGAAGTTGACCTGTCACGTGACCATACAGTGTAATGTGTTTGTGTATCAGACCCCTGTCCACACCAAGCAGCCCCCCACCCCATAACAGGAAACAGTGAGGTGAGGCCTGGGTTTATGGGCTAATATGGCCTCAAAGGAGTCTCTTGTTTGGGAACAGAACTGCAGCTCTTCAGGCTTGTTTTCCATATTGGTCTGGAGTGGAACGCTCTGACCCTGGCACCCGGGCAGGAAAACATGACATGGCATCGGCAGCACTTTGAACGCGGTGGGGATGAGCGAGGGTCTGCCAGCGCTGGGACCATCTTCTTAGGCTCATGATGACGAGTACTTAATCATCTGAAACAGTTGTGAATTTGTCAAAGTTTAGCAGCTGTATAATGTGTAGGTGTAGTAGAGAGTACATAGAGCAAGGTGGATATGATGGTGGGAGGTTTTTTAACTGCTTGAAATTTTACACCCTACATGTTTGGCTTAGTGTCTTAATTTTTCAAAGAATTGAAACCAGTGGAGCCTCAGGGATGTGGGTGGGAAAAGGGGAAGGCAAAACAAAATTGTCTGCACTGAGCAGTAAAGCCTTGAATGCAGGACAATAATATAAAAATACAATTGTGAGAGATGAGTGAACACGTTACAACAAGGTTGACAGGGTGATACTTATGTATGGAGATAGATGAGTGTCTTTATTATCAAATAAATGTCACACGATTCATGAATGCATTTCTGGTCCAGAAACAAATATAACAAGATTTACAAATATAATTCATGATGTACAAATAAATGTAACAACAGTCCCAAGAGCATTTCTCAACTCAAAAGAAAATGTGCGATTCACAAATGTCAGTGCAGTTACATTTATTTGCCAACCGATGAACCTGCATTTACAAACCACCATACATATTTGTGACTACACATGCAATTATTTATGAAGTTTTGAGACCTTCCTGACAATGTTTGATGCACAAATGTTTTTTTGTTTTTTTTAAACAGCCAATCACATCACATGGTTTATGACTGACAACATTGCGCTACTATTGCGCATGGTGGTAGTAGTTAGGTCCATAGGTTCTAGATAATTTTCAGGTTGACTGATGAAAATTGGGGGGAAAGGCAGGTGGAAGTCAATGGGAGCCAGAATCAGGAGGAGCTGGAAGAGGCCAGATGCTCATTTCCGATATGGAATGCAGCAGTGTCCATTTATATATACAGTCAGTTGATTTACAAATTATTAGAACTTTTAACTCATGTCCATTTCTGTTTTCTACTTTTATTTTCCCATCAATCAGCTCTAATAGACCATTTTTAACTGATTTGAATAATAGATGATATACTCTTTTAATTTTGCATCTCAAAATTACAGTATATATTATACATATTATCTACTTTGCAATATATCTCTCACTTATAAATAGGTAGTAACTGATCCCGAGCACTCCTGAGAGGTATCTGGTTTGTATCTGGGGGCAGGAATGTCCACAGTGCAAAGAGGGAATAGAGGATGAATGGCACGACTGGCTCAAAATGTTCCAGAATGAGCGGTCGGAAACTGTGAGGCACAAGAAGAGACGAGGAGTTACATGGGTGAAGAGAACAAGACCTTATTGACAGGGCCTCTGCCTCAGCGCTGTCCAGAAGCCCTGATTCATGTGGATGCTCCGGGCCAGTGGTACCAGGATGAATATATGAATGAGAAAGTTTTCCAGCACCTTTAAACACCCCGGGGTTAGTTTTGATTTCCTGTGGTCATTCAAGTGTCAGAAAGGCAAATTTGTCCTGTTTTTCTTTCCACCCACTGCCACACCAACCACTCCTACAGCTGTAGCGAACGTGCTAATGACGATAGATATTTTTTCCTTTTCTTCTGGCTCATTTGATTTGCATTCAGTTAATTATATACAGTTTATAGTAGCTCACATGTGTTGCCAGTTGTGTGCAAAAAGATATTTAATTTTGGTCATTACTAGGTTTTGGAGAGAGAGTGAGGAAAGACATTTGGAAAACTCTTATAACTCTCCCTTGCAGTTTCATTGTGCACTGTGTAACTTTTCTGGTGGAGGGTCTGCCACCTGCATGTTTCCCTAGCGATGAGATGCTTTGCCTTGAATGTTCCAAGGTATGGCTTGAAACTTCATGGAGACAAGCAGGTGACACCACCAGGCCAAGTTACAGGTCATATCTGTGAAAAGGCGAACCTGCTCACGAGAATAATGCATGTTTTCAGTATTTCAGTATGTAAATAAAAATAACTGAATAAATGAATAAATTAAAGATGGACATGGACATGCTTTCAATAACCTAATTGTGTTTTACTTTTTATCTTTTCAGGATGGATCATACCTGGCTGAGTTTCTCCTCCAGAAAGGTTATAAAGTGAGTCTAAGTTTTGACTGTTTTATTTATTTATTTTTTACTAGCAAAAGATATTTACTCATGTCTTTTAACATTTATCTATGCATTTTTTCACTTTTATACTTCCATAACTACCACTAACTAACTCTGAATTCATTATTGTCCATTAATAGGACTTCAGGCATTAGATTAAACTGGCAAATTTATGGAACCATTTCTTAGACTGTGTGGACTTAGTTACCCTGCTAAGTGCTGCGTTTCTTATAGAAGATGTGCATGGGTGCGCTTCTGGGTCCATTGACTCTGGTTCCAATTCACTTTGTATTGAAAGACCGTCGCCTCTCTCTCAATAACTGCTGCTGTCAGGCTTGTCATTTTTGTCCTTAAATCAAGATATGAACATTAATAACATAGAAATCTGGTTCCTTTTTTATTTAATTTTTTATTTTACAAATCAGACTCCTTCTTTTCTTGCAGCAGGTTGATTGACAGCCTTGCTAAGCGCCTGTTCCGTGCTAAACTACAAGTGCAGACAGGAAGGGCATTACCTTCAACAGCCTCACTCCGGATTGGCTCTTTCGTTACTATCATACTCAGCTCCAATCTTGCCCCTATAACTGCTAGCCTCAATGAGCGTCATTTGACTGGAGCCGAACGCAATGGGCGATGTCACACTTGGTCCACTTATTTATACAGTCTGTGAGCCAATCCTTAACAAATAATGATAAGGTTCAACATGCTGGGTCATAAGTTTTGATACAGTAAAGTTTTATAGTCCTTAGCGATATCAATTCAAAATCCAATATTATATCATTTGAATAGTGAAAAGTCCTCACAATTTTAAGGAAGTTTAGGAAGTTGAAACTCATGCATATACTGGCACTCAGCAACTTGCATTAACTGTAATCCTTTGACCTCACCTATTCACAGAAACTAAACAAACCTGTGACTTGTCCACACCTTGGTAAGTCTACATTATGGTCAGCAATTCCAGTTTCAAAGCACTGGTTCCTGTATTGACACACACCTTATGCTGATAAAACCTCTGTGTTACCTAGAGCTTCTTAACTTATGACCTTTTACCCCAGGGTCAAACCATTAACAAGGAAATGGTTGTTATTATACGGTAGTGTGAGTGAGGTCAGCGCTTTCACCTGCTGCTAGGTGTGCTGTAGCTAGCAGCTGCAACATCTGTCAACATTTAATGGATGCAAACACTTTACTTCACACCACTGACCAAGGTTTAAGCTAATTGGCTTCAAATTGTAGCAGTTTTTTCAATGTGTTTTTTTTGACAATATGATTTTATTTACTGCCAGATGTACAAAAAACATGTTAAAGGGGGCTCTGTGTAACTTTACTGGTGTGTTGTCCACCACCTGTTTGTTTCTAGGGATATGTAATTGGTTTGCCTAAAATGTTCCACAGTAAAACATTAAACTTATCTATCTCGAAGGAGACAAGCAGGTGAGGTCAGGTCATGTTTTTCATTGAAAGTTATTAGCCATAATAACATATGTAATTGAATAACTGCAAGAATGATGTTTAAAGTGGGATTTCCATTGAGACAAACACCAGACCAAGTTACACAGTGCACCTGGGGGCCCTTATTACTCTATTTTTTGATCTATGCTATAATGTTTCCTCATCAAAAACATACACGGAGTTGTGTTTTGTTTCATTCACACATTCACACACCTTGTGATGTGATGTGATAATATAGGAAGTGCCCCATTGTGTTTTAACCTTCACTCATATCATTTGAATAATTTCAGCCCTAGAATTACCAGTCTCTATTGAACTAAAAGTAGCTGTTAACTTGAAAATCTTGCTTCATGACATCATGATGTGTGAATAAAACAAAACACAAGTCCAGGTATTTTTTTGATGAGGTAACAACATTACAACATTGCTTAGAGCTCACAAAAGTCAGTTTTGTGTAATATACGACCTTCAAGCTAAAAATGCTATGAGAGAAAGTAACAAATTGATTTTTAAGGTGCTGGGATGACATGAAAGAAGAGTACATAGACAGGAAGTACACAGTGAATACAGGAAGTGAGGTTGAGGCCCAGTGTTTGCCCACTTTAGGACTCCCCTCGGATCAGGTTCTGTTATCTTATCTGAGCAGTGCTTCCTCATGTATCCCCCGAACATAGAGCATCACACACAGTATGGTGCTATCAAAACGTTTTAGTAATTATAGAGATTGGTAATACCTGTTTCATTTACTCAAATGCAGTACAGTGATTCAACTGCACTTCTTTCAGTAGTATGCAGACACTGTACTCCCACTTCAGTAATATATTTTACAGTGTAATCGTACTCTTACTGTGAGGAAGCCTAAGTGACAAAAGCTTTATGATGACAATATGAGATCATTTCTTTCATTGTACTTCAGATCTAATTTTTGTGTTCTCTCTGAAATTATCAAACTTTTTGCATGTTTTCTCAATCCAGTTGCATTAGGTTACAGTTGTAACTCAAATGTTACATTTATTTCAATTCACCTTACTTGAGTTGTATATTTTTGATTTGAATAATTTAGTAACTTTGTACTTCTACTTGAGTAACAGTATTTTGAAGTAACAGTAGGCTACTCTTACATGAGACTACTCTCTACCTGTCTCTGCATATTAACCATGACTCAAAAATCTGTAGACTTTAGTAATAAATAAGCCATTAAAATGTTAGTTTAGGACAAGGAATGCTTTTTCCGGTTACAATAAAACCATAACCACAGTCTCTGCTTGTTTTCTTATAGGTCCATGGCATCATTCGCCGTTCCAGCTCCTTTAACACTGGCCGCATTGAACATCTCTACCAGAACCCCCAAACTCACACAGAAGGCAGTGAGTATTCCAGTCTAAGGCACTGTTCCATGGGCTATTAAAATGTCTGCTATTTTTAAACAGGAGAATAACTATTCTATTTCTTTAGACATGAAACTGCACTATGGTGACCTAACAGACAGCACATGCCTGGTGAAGATCATGAACCAGGTGAAGCCGACTGAAGTCTACAACCTAGGAGCACAGAGCCACGTCAAGGTATGGTGGTTTGGCAGATGTTTACTCTGAAATATTTTAGTTTTTGATGATGAAGCAAATTAAAGCTACTGTTTAAAAGTATCTGATTTGACAGGAATTTAAAAAGTGACTGCTCTACTAGAAATTTTTTTAACTACTGCCAGTGTTTCTCACTTATTTTATTTTTTTTGTTGAAAGCTAACATATGTAAGTTTATTTGTTTTTTTGTACCAGTAGATGGCAGATGTGAAACCTGTTTTCCCTCCCCTCACCTGGCCTTTGTACAGGCTCACCGTGCTCTCTGGTCATCTTCTGTCAGACTAAAACTGGCATACTATGAGACGTAGATAGCATCTAGTGGTGTTACGTAAGAATACAACAGGGCCACCTTGGCCAGTCTAATTACAATGGCTTTAAAACCTTTTTGGCCCTGTTTAATCTTTAGTTATTTTTGAACAGTGCAGTTACTTTCATTCATTTATGATCATGACACACATACAAAAATGACTCTTGGGAAAGGGTGTCATAGTTCCTATCAGTGGGAAACACTGATTCAGAAACATTTAGGGAATCAAAACACATTATAGCATAACTGGAAGTTGATGAAATGATTTCCAATTCTGTTTAACACTTTCATGAGTGAGTGTTTTGTTTACTGATAAAATTCAACAGTTTCTCTTTCATTACTCCTACGCTATGGTGAGTTTTTACTAGTCAATGTTTAAAAAGGGCTTTTGACTTCTGGGAAGCGAGCCGTGAGTGAGTGTGGAGGATGCTGGAGCTGATGAAACAGGAAGTCTTGTTTTTGGATGGGACAGTCTGAGCCACAATGTCCCTTTTGTCTTGGAGCTTAGCAGTGATCCCTGGAGATCCCTCGGCGCCGCCCTCCCTCCTCCTGGACTTTACTGAGAATCTAACACACAGTCTCCAGGCTCTGATCCTCCGCAATGCAGCCTGACCTTAGCCAGACTGGATAGAAAAAGAACATTTGTGCAACATCTGAATTTAAAATTGTGGATAGTATATCCTTAATCAAGCATTTTCATATGACAATATTTGATTGTAAAATGTAGTTATTTTGTAGCTATATATGTAATATGTAATTAGTAGATTTATAAGAATTTCAGTGGATCATAGCAGAATGGTGAAGGTGATTAGTTAGTTAAACATTTGGAAGTGAACCATGAGTTTAATTTGGCTTTTTACACATAAATACACTGTTTCCTTGTTCTTTTCTATATAAATAGTTGTTTTTGCGTGAACTCCCATGCAGTTGTAGTCTTGTGTATACAGTTTGCTACTCCGTCTTTCATTACTCCAGATGTTACGATATCATGTAATAACATCTTTGTGCTAAAATCTGAGCTTTTGGGGTGGACAGACTTTGGAAAGTGAATTCAAGCATTTATTGGCTCTATTGACCTGAAATATGTTATGAAAGAGGCTGTGGTTTGAATAGAGCTGGAGAGCAGGTCTATGGTAGAAATTACTGACCGATGTTTTTCCCTGGTTTATTTAAAAGACCCATATTACACTATTTTCTGATCTATGTTATAATATTGTTTCCTCAACACGAACATACCTGGAGCTGTGTTTGTAATAGGTACCTGGTAAGTTTAAAATAACCACTTCATGACATCACAAGGCTTCGGAACAGAGCATTTTGAGCTTTGGAGATGTGAACAGACTAATAATAAAGGATTACTCCTGTGAATAAAACAAAACACAACACCGGATATGTTTTTGCGGAGGTAACAACATGACTAAAAGCTCACAAGAGTAAATTTTGCATAATATGGGATTTTTAAAAAATATCTCTGTAATTACTATTGTAGAACATAAACTGATTGTACAAATGACTTTTAAAAATGATGATTTATTTTCTCACTATATAAATAAAATGATGGCAATAATGTTGGAGATACTAATGATAGAACTAACACAAGATTAATATAGTAGGTCTGTGGAACCAAATGCTTCAACATTTCTGGATTTTCAGTTTAGATATTTCCTCCAAAATTGTGTGTCTGGCTCTGATGATTATTTTGTGAATGAGATTTTGATTTGATTGCTATTTATTCACTTTCACATTCCTTTTGCAAGAGCCACGTTTTATAGAACAGATCTTTGCCTTGTATAGTAACAGACGGTTTTTAGCAGACTGGCAGAAGATAGTGAACAGATCTGTAAAAAGTGGGAAACATGATGATTTCTCTGTCCACATCCTCTTGTGGTTGGAGGCTGTGACTCTGCTCCTTGCTCCCACATAGTCCAACTTCACGGGCCACACACACACACACTCCTATGTTAGAAAACCCCTGTACCTGTGCACAGCTTTCCTCTGTTTATTTCTCTGGACACAGTAAAACCTGAATTGGGTTCAGACCTCACCACATGCAGGTCGCTCAGAACAGCTGATGCCACTGGATTACTGGCAGCAGTGGTGTGGGGTCATTTCCAGTCTGTGTTACCGCGAAGGGAAAGATCACTCACTCTAGCTATTCAGCATCTCCACTGTCCGTTTAATGCATCTCTCTAGTAAAGCTAGTACTGCTGTAAAAACTGGTCAACGTCAGCATCTTTTAAAATCAAAACCTGTCTCACCATTAGCATTGTCACAGATTTAAACTACTATAAATAGGCTTGATACTCAATTGATACCTTGCATCTGATGTCAACAACGTTCTCTAGGGGCGTGATCCTAACTGGAGGCCCTGCTCTGTCTGAAGCACTTTTAGAATTTAATCTGAACTTTATTTTAACACAATCTGACTAGAAAGAACTGACTTATCTGGTGCTGCAACAGATGATCTGATTTGTGCTGTTAACAAGCGCCTCTAAAATAGCATTACAGTCACAAGCTAGCTCTCAGCTTTTTAAAAATTGAAATCATGCACAACCATTAACGATGATATTGCTCATAGGCTCCTAAAAATGTGTCTTATAAACCCATTTTGTATTTATTCTGGAGTTTTCAGACAATCTTGCTATTGTGTACATTGTGTACATTCACCCATAGAAATCCATGAATAACACCCCTTGCGTCAAGTATCAATACCTATTTCAATGCCACAATCATAATAAAAAAGCTCTTTTTTTAGACAATAGACTAGAGGTTTCATGGTGATTACTCATCACTAGTTCTCAAGAACATTCTGAACTGTTCAAATGCTCAAAGTTTTTCCTATTTATGTGTTATATATATATTTTTGCATCAGTACTTGTTTTAGTGTCGATTTGTTTTAGTGTCGTGGTTTTCAATATGACAGCAACACTTACCCCTATGTGCTCAGGGACCATCTCGTCTTTTTGCTGTCCAAAGACATGCAGATAAGGCTGAATTGCTTTTAATGAATAATAATAAAAACGTTCTAATGTTTTACTCTCTTATCATTTCCCAAAGTAGTAGCTGACTGTGTTTCACGTGTTGTTCCAAGACTCACATTATGAATTTAATGTTTGTGAATACATAAGCGGTTAGTGTAGTGCATACATTATGGTCAGGGGGAAAATGGCCAGTGGCACAGATTGGCAGCCTTGCTTCCATGAGGGCAACTGTGACTACAGTGCTATCTTATCTCTACTAGGCCTGTCATGATTTGAAATTTTAAAGTGTGATAGAATGATCAGGAAAATATAGACAATAATATTGAAACTAAATTGTGCCATTGATACAATAATCCTAAATTAGTTTTTTTACACTCTACAGATCCTATTTTATCATAGCACAGAAAAATACAAAAAGTCCCCCCCCCACAAAGAAAAAATACCTACGATAAATATAGACCCCCAAAAACGATTGTTCCATCGAACATATATTGAATAGTAAGTCCATATATTATCATGACAGGCCCAATTACCACCAAGTATGGAATCAATGACTGAAATTTGAGAGTATAGAGAAGCACTATATAAGAAAGCATTTTATATTTTAAAATGTTCAACTTTATGCTCCATATTATTTGATTTACCCAGCCTCAGTGTTCTCCATGATCTGGTTCAGCCCCAAATCTTACAGCTTAGTCTGAGTCTGGATTTGGTCACTAATTGTGTGGTCTCACTATAACACTATTCTTACATCAATGCATTTGCGACTTATGAGGAATCTCTTTTCAGGAAGTCTTATTTCATTTCAAGATGAAGTGTGTGTCCGTGTGGGTGCTTGTTTCCGCTGGAGTCAACAATGAGAATGTTCTATTAAAGCCGGGGGTGTTTTTAGCTTTGGGAATAGTGAAAGGACAGAACGAGGTGTTTTAAGCTGACTGTTATAACTGTGGAGAAAATAACTACTATTTGCCTTGCCCTTTATATCCGTGACAACTCTAGAACACAGCAGGTTTTGTTGGCTTGCTTGGCATAAATAGAACTAATGTGTGTTTTGTTACAAGCCTCATTCATTTTATAATGTCCAACTTTTTTTAAACAGTTCACTAGAGACATGAATATTCAAATAGACAAATTCATACCATCTACTTCTCTTATAGAAACTTGTGTATGAAACTGTATATGAGATGAGACATTGCTTAATTAATTCCAAATTTTGTGCCAGAAGAGCAGATAAGATACAATTCCACATCCATTTTAAATACAATATTCTAATGCATACATACTGGATCAGACAACACAGTGGTGTTCAAACCTTCCACAACAAGTACCCCGGAAGTTTGAATTATTACACATCTAATCTAGGTCTAAATCAGGTCTAAAAGTGGACCACATAAGTTCCATGATAGTATCAAACAAGAAATTATCCAAAGGAGAGCAATAGTGTATAAACTTGACTAAATTAGGCCATGTGAATACTGAGATAACACAAGGACCTTTTGTAATTCTGTTAAATTCTATCATTACCAATATATATTTATTCTACCTGCTAAGGTTGTCATAAGTAGTGAAAATCAGATACTAATTGATACCAAACCTAGATACTCATTTGAGCATGTATCAATACTAAAGTCACTTTCACTGACAGAAAGGAACCTTTCCTGAATAATTTGAATGATCTCTAGCTACACAGACTA